CAAGCGCCCATGGCCCAACCCCTACACCACGGGTGCGGGTCCTTGGCCATTGTGTCCATTCGCTGGGCAGCCGCTGGGCACATGCCCCGGCTGGCCACGGTGGAAGCAAGTGCCTCAGAAGCCACGGAATTCTCCCGTAGGCGGCGGACCCCGCTTTGGCGCGAATGGCATGGGCATGCGGCCGCCTCCGCGATTGCCACGAGCAAAAGCGCCCTCGGCGCGGTCCATTGCAGCCACATCACCGACAGCCTATTTGAAAGGCCTGGAGGTGAGCAGACTCTTCTGCTGGTACAGCTTGAAATGCTTGGCCGTGCGGAAGTCGGAGGCGTCTTCGACTTGGAGGACTTCGAAGCGCCGCGATATGAGGGCGAGCGCGTCGGCGAGGAATTCGAGGCCGCCCGGCGCATCGCCGTGCTGCATCTTGTACTCCGCGTGCTTCAGGTATGCCCGAAGGTCCTCTATGACTTCCGCTTGCTCACGCACGGCCGCGTTGAGGAAGAACGCTGCCGAGAGGGTGGTGTTAGTGGTCGGGAGGGGTGGGAGGTGCTCCATGGGAATTGAATTTGCAGCAGTGCCGGGGACCTCACCAGCGTCATTGTCGGAGTCGTCACTGTCGTTGTCGGCCGCCGGGGCAGGCGGGATGCTGGCGACGGCGTCTTTGGCGAGGCGTGGCGTCTTGGTTCCGCGTGTGGCCTTTTCTTTTTTTGCAGGTTCCTTTTTAGCAGATGTAGAAACAGCAGGTTGAGCAGTTTCGGCGGCCGTAACACTCGTCGCCTGCTGCTGTAACCGCGTCAACAGCGCGTTGACCTGCGCAGGGGTCAACGAGGGGGTCAAGGTCGGGGTGGGCGGCGCGTCAGACAAGGCAGCCGCATGCCCCCTTTTTCGCTGGCGAGAAGGACCCGCCACTTGCGGCGCTGGCGCGTGCTGTGGCTCGGCGTCAGGCGCGAGTGGCTGGCCTTGCTCAGCCACTTGTGCACGTGGCTCGGAAGGGGGCGGGGGCGCGTCAGCAGGCTGATTGTTGTCCTCGCCCCCTCCCAGCAGAACGTCAACCCCAGTTGGGGCAGCCGTCCCTTCTTCTGCCCGACGCTTGTTCCGCCGGTCGCCCGCAATTTCCGGGGCTTGGTGAGTAGACTCGGAATTGGGGTGGCCGGTTATGTCGTTGGACTCGCCGCGATTATTCGTAGTCAGAGCCATGGCGGATTGGTTAAACTTCAAAATACTAGAAAGAAGAGCTGAGGGAGACTCGCCGTGGGGCAAAGTTCTAGTCTTAGCCAGCTTGAACGGGAGGAAAGCTAGAGTGGGAAAAGTTGACTGAGCCATTTGAAAAATGAGAGACGTGGGTGGAGGTAAATGAGCTCCAACCCACGTATTTGTAGTTGGAGAAGGGCGAGTAGAGCGCTTCGACGATGCCCAAAGCTTCAGTACAATCAGCTTCGCTTTCACAATACACAATTTTTGAAAAACACTGCGTATGTTAAATAATATAATAATTATTAAAAAAGACCAACCACCACCACTCAAGATCGTCCACCACTCAAGACCGCCCAGCGCCCAAGATCGGCCGACACCAGGGCTGATGTTTCAAAAAAACCTACTCTGATTTTGGCCCAAAAAAAATCTCCCAAGTCTAAGTAACCAGGTTTCAGATTTCATGGTAGTCTGATTTCGCTGGATCCAGTGAGTCTCAAGTCTGATTTCTCCAGGGTTCGCAAGTATTAATCAGAGTCATGATTTCACCATTTACTCGCCATTATTTTATAACATTTTGGCAGTTAACCAACACCTAGTCTAATTTCCTAGCCTAGCTAGAACTCTGGCACATCCACAGCGTTGACATCCTTCGCCTCATCATCCGACAGAAAGGGGTTGTCTTCTATAGCTACTGCACCTCCACTATCCCTCTCCCCCTCCTCCACCTCCTCCTCATCCCAATCCTCTCCTAAGTAGTTTGGCACTGGAGGTTCCGGCTCTGCCTCTTCCAGCGGAGCCTTGCCCTTACGCTTCCTCTCTTTTGATGCGAACACCACCAACTTCGCTGGTCTTCTCTTCTTTGCGTGCCACAGCTCAAGCGCCTCCTGCCAGTTGATGTCGTGTCTCAGCAGCGAAATCATCATCAGCTCACCCAGGCGGGCATTGCACAGAGCACTACGGACCCAAGACTTGATCACGTTCTGCCTGGAAAAACCACGCTCGCAATCCACAGTTGAGAATGGTAACACCGCGCATGCTTGCCAGAGAAGCATGAGGTTGGGCCAGTGCCTGTTTATGGAACAACTACACACAAGAGGCATGGAACAATAGAATTAAGAATAAACTACAGGCATGGTGGGCAAGGAACAATAGAATTAGATACAAACATAGACAGGCAGGGTGGTCAAACTGGCAAAAACAATCATACACAGGCAGACAGAGCAGCGTGCTTTGGAGGCTCGACTTACCTGCTTGATTTCGTGTTGCCAAGGTAGTTCGTGAGGCCCTGGTAGAAGCCCTCCTCATTGTGGTGGTTCTGCATGATTGGGGCCCAAGTTGCCAGCTCCTTCTCCGCCTCCTTCAAATCGAACCCGGGGAGCCTGTCGTCGAAGATAGCACTGCAGCCATGGAGATACTCCCTCGTCTTCTTCTCCCTCACCATCCGAAGCCGCGGCCACTTGCCCGCCCGAAACAGCTTCGTCGGCCCGAGCTTCGACAGGTCGTCCAGCCGCTCTAGCAGGTTCGTCATGCTCCCCCTCACGAACTTCGCGCACAACAGTTCGCAGTCCCGGTAGTTGCTCTGGTAGACGTGCCCCTTGATCTGCCGCTCGTGCATCTGGTACGTGTGCGTCACCAGCTGCCCGTCCTTGTCGACACTGCGCACCTTCACTCTCTTCGCCCCCCCTCGCCCGTACACGGTTAAGAAAGCCGACAGCCACGTGCCGCTTACGCCCGCACCGAAAACCCCGCCGCACTCCAAGTAGCGGTGCCGAAGATCCCCCACCGCCTCGTCGACGTCCTGTGTTATCTCGGTGATATCCACCTGCGGTCGGGCGGGGAGGGGGGGGGGGGGTGGTGGAAACATGGGGGCGCAAAACAAGGGGCAGAATGTTAGTGCTGATTGTGAAAGAACATACCACAAGCTCACATGCAAGGGCTCACCTCTCGCTTCTGAAACTTGAGGTTGAGCTCGTTCATGATGGCGAGGACATCCGCCAGGAAGAAGAGACAAAACTGAAACTTGTATGAGATGACAATCTCGTACACCTGATGCTTATACTCAAACAGTAAAACGATGGCAGCACCGAGGACCTTACAGAGGCTTCTGACTGCCTCGCCCCTGGACAGCCACCGAGTCGCGTGGTTACCTTGAACTTCAAGGTTGGTCTTGTGGATGACACGCTGCAGGTACTTGAACCACTGGCTCCACACGCTTGAACGGCCGAGGAGATCGGCCAGAGTTCAGATAACCTTGTCGACCATGTCCAAGTCTGGACAGGCAGACGCGGCGTCCTTCACAGCCAGAGCTTCCTTGCGCACAAGCCATAGAAACAAATTAGTAAATGATTAAAAACAAAGCAAGAACAAAACATAATGAGTCTATACCAGTGGGCGATGCAGTGGGACGACACAAGGTGAGGGATGTGCTCGCGGAGCCGCGCTGTCACAGGATCGAATGTGTCGAGGAAAGGTTGCACTATCGATCAGTACAAGGCGCTTTTATGCTTCCAAAGTACATCAGGTAACCAGGTTTATCTTATCCTAAGGGAATAGACCCTTCTAGAAGATAGAATCACCCTGCGTATAGCCACGCGAGGCTATTGGCTTTAAGGGATTACGGCAGGATTACGCTGGATAATGTGCCAGTACATCCCAAGCCTGGTCGGTGATATAATTATAATAGCAGGATCATCCAAAGGATAATGGAAGAATGGAGAATAGGAAACCAAATGAGATGAGAGAAATGAACGAGGAAGGAAATAAGAAAAGGACAAGTGGTGTAACGGGGTCGTACTCTCACACTTCCCCCCCTCAAAGCTGGGTGGTAGAAGTAACACCTTGCTTGACAAGGTAGTCATGCAGAGGACGACGGGCGTTACCCATGTCGGTTTCAGAGACCCAGCTGTCCTCAGAAGGATCATAGCCCTTCCAACGAATAAGAAGCTCCACGGTGCCATTCCGACGTCGACGATGTGCAAGTACGGACTCGACCTCGTACTCGGGTTCGTTCTGGACGAGGACGGGCGGCGGCGGCGGCGGCTGGCGTCCCACGAAGATAGTGTTAGGATCCCGATAGGGCTTCAGAAGTTGGACATGGAAGGCGTTGTGAATCTTCCAGGTAGCTGGCAGGCGTAAGCGGAAGGTAACAGGAGTGACCTGTGCTTCAACGAGAAAAGGCCCGCAGAAGCGAGGTCGAAGTTTAGATGGGAGGTGGCTGATGTCCAGGTTGCGGGTGTCAAGAAGCACCTGGTCTCCCACCGTGATGGTGTGGTCGTTGCGATGGCGATCGGCCTGGCGCTTTTGTTGCTGTTGAATGTCGAGGAGGCGCTTATGGGTCCGATCCCAAAGCTGATGCATGGTTGTGATGAAATCATGTGCAGGTTGTACCGTAGCGGATGTTGTCGGTTTCTGTGGTGTGAGTGGGTGGCGTCCGTAGCAGAGGAAGAACGGCGTCTGTCCAGTAGCGGCATGTGTAGCATTGTTGTAAGCAAACTCGAGTACGGGCAGGTGCAAGTCCCATTTGGAGATGTCGTCCTTGCAGGCTGCTCGGAGGAGTTGCTCAACAATTTGGTTGAGGCGCTCGGTCTGTCCGTCTGTCTGCGGATGGTATGCGGATGACATGGCGAGTTTGGTGCCGAGTAGAGACATGAGTTCCTTCCAGAACTTGCTGGTGAACTTGGGGTCTCGGTCGGAAATGAGTGTGGTTGGGATGCCATGCTGTGAGATGATATGACGAACGAAGAGCTATGCTGTCTCCTCGGTGCGTGCCGTCGTGTGTGTCGGGATGAAGTGTCCCATTTTAGAGAACTTGTCAATGACGACAAGGATGGCATCATGACTGCTGGTGGTAGGTGGTAACCCGATGATGAAGTCGAGGCTGACCACTTGCCATGGCTGTTCTGGGACAGGAAGAGGCTGCAGTAGTCCCGCCTTTTTCTGCTTGCTGCTCTTCATCCGCTGACATGTATCACACGAGGTGACGAATTTCTGAACGTCGTCTGCCATATGGGGCCAGTAGTAGTGTTTGGCGATACCGGTGAGCGTCTTGTTGCTACCGAAGTGTCCGGCGTACAGGACGTCGTGGTATTCTTCGAGTAGTAACTGGCGCAAAGGAGGGTAATTGGTTACCCAGATTTTCGTTGATCCTTTCCGGTACGCGATGTCACTGTCTCACTGTAGCAGATGTCGCTTTTCAGCTAAGGGAATTTTGGGGTCGATGGCGTACCCGTGGGTGAAGAGTCCCTTGAGTAGTGGATTCATCCCTTCGACCTGAATCGCGGCAACGTGTGCAGGCCGGCTGAGAGCGTTTGCTTTGTTCTTGTGGCCGGGCTTGTACACGATGTCGTAGTGGAAGTGTGTCTCGAGGAAGTCAATCCACCGGACCTGCCGCCTGGAAAGGGTTGGTTGTGTCTTCAAGTATTTCAGGCTGCAGTGGTCGGTGTAGACGGTTGTTCTTCGTCCTTCGAGATAGCATCTCCACGCTTTGAAGGCGATGATGATAGCCAGGGCCTCTTTGTCGTGTATCGGGTAGTTTAGTTCTGCCCCGTGCAGTTTCTTGCTGAGGTAGGCAATTGGTTGCAGTCCATTCCCTTGGTCTTGCATCAAGACTGCACCCACGGCCTGATCACTGGCGTCTGCTTCAATGACGTAGTCACGTTCGGGATCTGGCAAGATGAGCACCGGTGCGGACGTTAGTGCTTGTTTCAGCTGCTCCACGGCTTCCTGGTGCTTCGTCTCCCATTTGTAGGGCGTGTTCTTCTTCAGCAGATTCGTGAGTGGTGCCGCGAGTTTCGCATACTGTGGCACGAACCTGTTGTAGTAATTAGCGAAGCCTAGGAACTGCTGCAACTCCTTCACGTTCTCGGGAGTCTTCCACGTGCGTACGGCTTCGATTTTCTTGGGGTCGACATGAACTCCTTGAGCGCTCACCATGTGTCCTAGAAATTGGAATTTCTCCAGGGCGAATTCGCTCTTGGACAGTTTGACGTAGAATCGTTCTCGTCGAAGAATTTCGAAGACGCGTCGCAGGTGTTCGACGTGCTGCTTCATGTCGCGCGAGTAGATGAGTATGTCGTCCAGGTACACCACCACGCATTCGTCCAGAAGTGGTCGTAGAATGTGGTTCATTTCGGCTTGGAATGTTGCCGGCGCGTTGGTGAGTCCGAACGGCATTACCAAATACTCGTACGATCCGTACCGAGTTCGAAAAGCAGTTTTGTGGATAGAATTGTCCGCCATCCGTATCTGCCAGTATCCGGACCGCAGATCCAGTTTGGAAAATACCGTAGCTCCCCGAAGCTGGTCAAGCAGGTCATCGATTCGCGGTATCGGATATTTATTCTTGATGGTCTGCTTGTTAAGAGCTCGGTAGTCGATGCACATGCGCAGGCTTCCGTCCGGTTTCGGCGTGAAGAGTACTGGGCCACCGTATGGCGAAGTAGATGGTCGGATGAGTCCTTTGGCTAGGAGATACTCGATCTACTTCTTCATGTCGGTCAGCTCCGTAGGGCTGAGCCGGTATGGTGCTCGGAAGGTCGGCTTCGAACCCGGTTCCTCCACGATCTCGTGTTGATGCGTTCGGTATGGCGGTAGCTCGTTCGGAGGATCGTCAGGAAGAATATCTTGGAACTCCTTCAATAATTCCTTGATTTTTTCTGGAGGTTCCGAGGCTTTCTCTCCGTCATTCTCCACCTCTGTTGCTATCGCCAGGAACCCGGTGTCGGTCCGCTTCACATCCTTCTCGAATCGTGCGAGTGTCTCCACTGGGATATCTCCAGTATCGTCCAAGTTGGGTAGCTGTACTCTCCGTCCATTGTTGTAGATGCTTGCGGTGCGGTTCACCCAGTTGATCTCGGGGTTGAATCTTTTCAGGAAGTCTCGCCCGAAGATCAAGTCAAGCCCTTTGATGTTGGTGATGGGGAGTGCAGGTCTCCAGCGCAGTGGTCCAATTTGTAGGTGTAGCACTGCTTCGCCGTGTACTGGTAACTTGCTGCCGTCCACCATTGTTGCAGAGAATCCTGAAGGCTTGTACTCTTCCCGAAGTCGGTCGATCACTGCCTTGTCGCAGACGGTGTGTGACGCTCCGCTGTCCACGAGTGCTTGGAGGCGTCGTCCTTTGCAGATGACCTCGAGCACGAGGGGTAGTCGTTGCTCGGAGTACCCAAAGATAGTTTCATTGATTGGGTCATAGGGTACATCCCAATACTCCGTACACACCTTTGTGTTGCTGTCTACTCCTGAGCTGGCAGCTGGCCAAGGCTGCTTGGAGAACGGCTCTTCTCTAGGGCCCGGAGTTTCCTTGACGACTGTGCGCGTCACTGATGCCGAAGAACTGGATGCATCCGTAGGAGGAGTTCGGGGTTTGTGCAGCTTCTTGTAGACCCCCAGCTTCCTCTTGAGCTGCTTCAGCTCCACCGACGTCTTCCCTGGGGAGCGGATAGTCGTTGTGGGCTGGTGTCGGGAGAGGACGTTGACTCCGTGGAAAGGTCGGCTTCTTTCCACACTCCTTAATTTGGTCCCCAGGTTGTCCGGTACCGGTATAATCTCCACAGCTGTCTGCTTCTTTTGGAGTCCCTCCCGAAATTTCTCCAAGGCTCTAGCCCCTCGAACATCATAAGTTTTCATTAAAGCATCTTTATAAGATAACTTTAATGAATTCTTATAATTTCTTGGGTCTTCAAGGAGTTTCCCTGTCTCGGCAGAGTCTTTTTTCGCGGAGTCGTATTTTTCCTCGGCGATTTTCCCTGGCGAAGACTGGTCGTGGGGTGGAGATTTTCCCCCATCATTTCCTCCTTCTCGCGTCGAATCAGCTTCGTCGAAGTTGATTTTCCCGGAATCCCGCGGCCGCTTTCGGATCTTTTTATTTTCGCCAGCTAGATCCGCAATCACTGGCGACTCCCGTTTTTTGTCTTCTGACTGGCCGAAAGATTTCCGCCACTGCTGCGTGCCCGATACTCTGCGCGTGCGGCCTTCATTTTGTTGCAATCGAAGATTCGGTGGCCCGGCACCCCGCAAAAATCACACGTGTAGTTGGTGTTTTTCGGACGTGGCCGCCCTTAGAATCTGTCGACTTCCATCGGGTCGGCGAACGTGGGGTGAGCCGAGCGGTCGCCATGTCGCGTACTGCCGACGTGCGTCCGTCGTGTTCCGGCGTTGACCATGTCGAAGCGCTCCGCGGCCGAAACGACGTCACTGTAGCTCGCGTAGTTTGACGCTGCGACTTGTCGTTTGACTTCGGTCTTCAGCCCTGCGAGGTACGATTGCACTTTTTCCCCTTCGGTCAGGTCGGGAATTCGGTTATAAAATTCTTCCATCTGCTGCGTGTACTGTGCTACACTCCCGAACTGTCGATGGCGATGAATTTTTTCGCGGGCAAGGAAACCTGAATTTATCGGCTCGAATCGTTTGAGCAGGTCGGCGCGGAACTGCTGCCACGTGGCTTCACCGTGGATGAAAGTACTGTTGCCGCCAATCCACTCGAGTGCCGGCCCTCGCATCAGTGTCGCCGCGAGTCGTACGCGTTGACCGTCCCAGACTGGCGAGCTCCATCCGACGGCTGCGAAGTAGATCTCCATCCCGGCGATCCATCTGCGGGCGTCGGAGTTTCGATCGCTCGGATCGAACGGGTCAGGTGGGCGCGGTTTCGGAGCCTCGAGAAACTGCTGCGACTGCTGCGTCATCGCCGTTGTCGTCTCGTGCTGCGCTCCGGCGAGTCGAGTTACTCGCTCGAACTGGTTTCGCCATGCTTCGCGATCCGCTCGCATTTCCTCCTGAAGGGCTGCGATGCGCGCGAAGAGCTGCTGGGTAACCTCGGCGTTGTCGAAGGTTGCCATCCTGTTCAAAACACGCACGGAGGGGGTAATTTGAAAATCGCGGAGCTGGTGCTTACCAGAATCGGAGTCGAATTGGTCGCCCCCGGCGGTTTTTCGAGGCAGGATCCCCGCTGCTGCTGCTTAGCTGAGCGCGGTCGAGTGAGAAAAGCTCTGATTACCAAGTGTCACAGGATCGAATGTGTCGAGGAAAGGTTGCACTATCGATCAGTACAAGGCGCTTTTATACTTCCAAAGTACATCAGGTAACCAGGTTTATCTTATCCTAAGGGAATAGACCCTTCTAGAAGATAGAATCACCCTGCGTATAGCCACGCGAGGCTATTTGCTTTAAGGGATTACAACAGGATTACGCTGGATAATGTGCCAGTACATCCCAAGCCTGGTCGGTGATATAATTATAATAGCAGGATCATCCAAAGGATAATGGAAGAATGGAGAATAGGAAACCAAATGAGATGAGAGAAATGAACGAGGAAGGAAATAAGAAAAGGACAAGTGGTGTAACGGGGTCGTACTCTCACACGCGCCACGAGACCGTTCTTGCGCCCAACCATGACGGAAGCGCCATTGGTGCTGATTCCCGCGATGCGGTTGAGTTCGATGCCGGTGCCTTGAAGATGAGTGAGGAGCACAGAGAGCAGGGAGGCGGCGTCACTTCTCGACGATCAGCAACGAGAAAAATTCGGTGACGATGCGGCGATGGCGCAAAAACGTGAGGTACACTATCAGGTGCTTCCCTCTGGTACGATCTGTGCTCTTGTCGCAACTGATGCCGATGAACGGGGACGATTGAATGTGCTGCATCTGGGTCCGTTGAAGAAGAGTCGCCAAGCAGTGGACCATCTTTTGAAAGCCGTACTTGCACACAAAAGAGGAGTAATTGTTAAAATAATCCAACGGGGCAGAGTAATGGAATGTACTCGCGGGTACTTACCGAGTGAGGTAAACATCGTAAGACTGGAGCGGTAGGTCCGGGGTGTCCTGCTCAGCCATAAAGCGACATAGCCGAGGAAACATGCTGATGGAAGCATCGACCTTACAGAGAAACTCAACAGCGCGGAGCAGTCGCACGACCCGCCTCCCCTCGACATCCGACGACAAATAGTTGTCAATCCTCTTCTGCCCATCGGCGATGTCGTCGGCAATCTTCAGCTGGGCCTCCACAGCTTCCTTGTGTGCAGAGGAGTGTTCGTGTATGCGCATGGTCTGTGTCTGCAGGTCTCTGCCACCATCGCCCGAAGAGCTGTACTTGGTGGTCTCCTTGCCAAACGTCATGCAGAGCAGGGTAACCGTCTTTTGTTTTGGTTAGCAGTAGCCATGGAAAGAAAGGCAGCCATGAAGTTTTGTACTTTGCTTCAGCGACAAGGTATTTCTGCTCAATCAATTCCTTCTTACTCAGCTTTGGCAGTGGCGGTTCAACGACGACAGGGACTGCACTAGGTGATGGCGGCGTGGACGGGCGGCGGAGCCTACCTCCGATCATGATTTGAGACTGGGTGTACTTGCCCGTCCGTTGTTTCTTTGCAGACGAAATCGTGGACGCGCAGGGCACGCTGTAGCGGACTGTAGTGGCGGTGACGAAGTTAACGGGCCGAGTCGGGCCTCTGCTGGATGAGGCAACGGCAGGCGGAGGGACATATGGTGGTGGCACGAAGGACGCGTACAAAGGTGGGTTTAGAGCAGGCTGGGTTTCCTCCGCTGCAGAGGAAACCACAACAGCAACAACGGGAGGAGAACCTAACGACCGCAGTATGTCTATCGCGGAGCGACGAACCTTTGCAGGCTTGTTACTATGAGGTGCTTCATCGGTGCTGGGCTCATCGTCTTCTTCTGTAGGAGTCCCCGTCATGCCAGTTGACGGGGTCGACAAACGAGAACCTACGTGAGGAGGACAACTCCGAAACACGAATTGAGGAGAAAGATTTACAAGCCCGTGTAAAAGCCTGAGTGCACCTGAGAGGAGGGGGAGGGATGAGATGGACGAAGAAGTAGGGCACCATCATGCCCGAGGCACGTGTTTCTTGGTTAACCCTCGTCGTCAGCTTTGAGATGGCAGCCCCTTCCAAACCCGCGCCGCCATGCCAAAAATGAGCTGACATTACGAACGAACCATGTGTTGGCATGGACTGTCGCCAATCACGGTCGGTCGGACAGTTTTGCACATGCAAGCGAGGGCAAGTTTCCCGCGTTACCAGCCTTTGATGGCTTCCAACACACCCACGTAGAGGTCCTTAGCAGGCACGCGTATCAGGATGCATGACGCGTTGAGCGGCAAAGTCCCTGTTGAGGCAGCATCACAGTCACACAAGGGGCGGGAATCCTGCCAAGTGCAGATACTTCACGTCAGATGTGCGGGGGTGAAATGATAGAAGGCAGCATATGACGTAGTAGAGGAAATCTTGTGGAAAGTACGAGGTGCATGTATCTCGCATTCAGAATCCATACGCGATGTACTCTGAAACCCCAGTATCCGCACAACGACTACTCTGAAAACCTCAGGATAAAAAATCATACAACTCTGAAGGGTTCAGTATCCAGAAAAGCCATAGTCTGAAAAATCAGGATTGGCAAAAAAATGGGTCTGAAATTTCAGACAATCAGACTAAAATAGTCTTAAAAAATCAGCCCTGGCCGACAACCAAGACCGCCTCACGATCAAGACCGCCCACTGGCGAAGATCGTCCGACCAACGCTCATGGCCGCCCACCGTTCAAGGCCGGCCAAGGCCGCCCACCCCACCAATCAAGACCGCCACCCCTCAAGACCGCCCAATGCTCAAGACTGCCACTGGCCACCGCCCAAGACCGCCCACCGACCTATACCGCCCACCAGCCTATACCGCCCACCAGCCTAGACCGCCTGAAGCTCAAGACCGCCCACCGCCCAGGAATATATGAGAAAGAATAATTGAACTAGAATGTGTGAGTACAAGGGTATTTCGACTAGGGTGTTGTACCCTCTAAGGCACAATCCAGTATAGTCTATAGTAACGACCTAAGTTACATTTGACCCACCCCCTAGACTATATAGGGGCAGTACCTAACAGGGAAAGAAGCAGCTCAGGGCTGCACTACTAGTCCAGCCTCTGAGGCAAGGGTCTAAAGACCAGTCAAAGGAGTACAGACAAGACAAGAGCAAGACCAGGGCGCCACTACTAGTCCAGCCACTGGGAGAGG